CTGATGTGTTCGGTCAAAACATAAAAGACATGATGCGCCGTAACGCTGAAATCGAAAAAACAGAAACAGAAACAAGCCTCTGCACGGTCAATTTTTCAGAAACCTCGATAAGCCAGCCATAGAAAAACAGGCGACAATGGCGTGGTTACAGAGCTCTGGACTAAAAGGCGAGACTGAGAGTCTTTTAGTTGCAGCACAAGACCAGGTACTAAAAACCCGATATTATACAACAAACATCTTGAAGCAGACAACAGACAGCAAGTGCAGACTATGTGGTCAGGCAGAAGAGCATATGAGTCACGCACAGGCATAACAACGTCGCTAGCTATGTTAACTGGACCATGCGTAAAGATTTAGGGTTGTCTGTGGCTAGCAAGTACTACCAGCATGTTCCAGAAAGAGTACTAAGTCTTAATGACGCCACTGTCATGTGGGACGTGGCTATTATCACCGGTCGAACAATCCGAGCAGATCGGCCTGATATTGTAATTAACAACAAACAACAAAAGATCAACCTTCTGCTAGATATATCAGTACCTGAGGACTCAAACGTGTTGCTGAAAGAATCTGAGAAGATCTCCTAATATAAAGACCTAGAGATAGAGATCAGCAGAATGTGGCATGTTAGAGCTAAAACTATATCTACAGTAGTGGGCGCCCTGGAAACAATTAAAATAGGTCTAAGCACCTACCTTCAAATGTTACCAGGCCGGCCAGCGAAACTGAAATCCAAAAGATTGTCGAGCTTCGTGTTTACACCTGAAAACCGTCCAGAGACGAGAGGAAACAAACAACACCAATAATAATAATAATAATAAAAGACCTGGAAATAGAGATAAGCAGAATGTGGAACGTTAAGACCCGAACAGTTCCAGTCATTGTAGGAGCCCTAGGGACCCTTAGAAAGGGGTTGCAGACCAACCTGTCACAACTACCAGGAAAACCATCTGTTGCTGAAGTGCAGAAAATAGCACTACTGGGCACTGCTCACATTATCCGCAAGGTATTAGGGTGAATCGCTTTGATCTCGGGTAGAGATCTGGATTCGCTTAAGACTGTCACAATAGGACAAGAGGAAAACACTAAAATAATAATAATAATAATAATAATAATAATAATAATAATAATAATAATAATAATAATAATATCAGCCCAGGATCAAGCCCTAAATACAAGATTCTGGGCAAACCAGTCGATAGCCGATGTAGAAGGTGCAACACAGGAGAGGAAACAATTCAGCACGTCCTTACAGGGTGCACAGTTCTGGCAGCAACTGAATATCTACATCGGCATAATAGCCGAGAGATTGCACTGCTAGGATCAGCCCACATTCTGAGAAGAGTATTAACTTAAGAGCCAGCTAAACCTCAGAACCCTTGTTGGGTTCCGGTGGCTGGTACTGTCCGATCAAAGGAGGTCGAGAGTATGTAATTGAACTAATAATTATAATAATAATAATAATAATAATAATAATAATAATAATAATAATAATAATAATAATAATAATAATAATAATAATAATCAAGTCAAGCGTCATCAACTGTTGGGATACAAGCATATTAACCAGCACGTCGATAAATCACAACCATTTCGACATACTAGTAATCGACAAAAGTAAAGAGGTTGCTTATATCATAGATATTGCAGTACCAGTTGACGAAACTGTACAAAAAACTTACACCGAAAAAACAAATAAGTATGAACAGCTGTCACACGAAGTCCAACAACTATACAAATTAAAGCAAACATTTATACTGCCACTTATTGTTTCTGCCAATGGCCTCACCCACAAAAACTGCCAGAAGATAGCAATCCTCGGTACCTGTAGAATAGTCAGGAAGTTCTTCAAGTAACTTTGCCTCTGGCTGGCGTCGGGGTTAATTTTCCTGACAGTCAAGAATACCAGAATACCTGTGAAGCCAATAATAATAATGTTTGTTGGAGGATATACATTATACATACCTGAAATACAAGACACATTATAGTACCCCAAAAGGCTGGGGGTTGGCAGTGCCTACTAAGCTACAGATGTGAAACCGACACATAGTTTATTTTGATTAAAGCTGTCTAGCTTAGTTTATCGGAACCCAGACATTGCTAAAGAAATAAAAGAAAGGGAAATAAAGGTCAGGGTGACGTGAAGGGAAAGTCAGCTGCATTTATTGGAGACTTCAGCACTTTCCTAGAATACTGAAGTTTGCTCGAATTCATGTTAACGCGAATATTCCCCAGCGACCAATTTTAGCTTCAACTTTGTTTCCCTCCTTCTACATGTCAAGAAGGCGCAATGAACAGTTCTGTCTGTCAGTCGGAAAATTATAGATGTAGGGCGGGTCACAGTAAATATCTCTTTATACAGGGTGCGTCATCTATTACTTTTTTCTATTTGAAAAATCAACTCGCTTTTTACGAGGTGAAATCAAATTTTTGTATTGATAAATGAACGTTGGATTATGTTATTTATGTATGAAAAATAACATCAATCCGCGGCTTTGTTTACAGGCCAACATCCGAACAACACAATTTTCAATGACTTTTCCCAGAGTAATCGGGTCTAGGGCCGCAATTTCAGTCCGAATATTGCGCTTTAGGTGTTAAATTTTCCGAGGACCATTCGCATACACTTTTCCTTTCAAAAATCTCCAAATAAAATAGTCAAGAGATGTTAAATCGCACGATCTGTAGGGCCAATTGACATCCGAATTTCGTGAAATTAATCGGTCGTGAAATTTTGTGTGCAATAAGGCGATTGTTTGGCGAGATGTGTGAGCCGTTGCTCCGGCTTGATGAAACCAAAGATCGTCGGCACCAATACGATCCAATTGTGGTCACAAAAAGTCTGTTAACATGCCGCGATAACGTTCCCCTTTGACGCTAATGACCTTTTCTTCGGCATCCTCAAAGAAGAATAGTCCAACGATGCCAACAGCCCATAATCCGCACCAAACAGTCACTTTTTCAGGATGGGGAGGCTGTTCGTGATATTGGTGTGGATTTTCAGCCTCCCAGAATCTGCAGTTTTGCTTATTTACGTACCCAGTGAGGTGAAAATGAGCCTCATCAGAAAAGAGCACTTCCGTCTTCTCTTTCCAGCATCCAATTAACAAAAACACGCCGTTGTTGATAGTCTGCCGGCTTCAGTTCTTGTGTTAGTTAGGATTTTGTATGGATGGAGGTGTATATCAATGTGTAAAATCCGGCGTAAAGTGGTCTCACTAATTCCCAGTTGTTGCGAACGGTGCCTAGTCGAGGTGGTTGGATCTTCTCGCACATTTTCACTCACTGCGGATATGTTTTCACGAACGAGTACGACCTGGACGAGCATGTAGGTATGGTCTACGATCTTCAGCTGACCCAGTTTCCTCAAATCGATTAACAATCCAACGAATTCCAGACTCTGTAGGGCGTCCATGTCGGCCAAAACTAGTGCGAAGGTTTCGAAAAGTATTTTTTATATTTCGGCCGTTTTCGTAATGAGTTTGGTAACCGAAATGCGTTGTTGTGTTGTAAATGAATCTATGACTATAAATGGCATACCTTTGACATTTCATTTATTCATACCGCATGACTTTTGACTCACATGGTAACACATAGTCTTATAGATAAAAAAAAGTAATAGTGGGCGCAGTATATCTCCATCTTCCTCATACAGATATATGCAACCTACCCCTGCGTGTCAACGTTTGCTCGGTAAGCTCAAAGACATACGTTTCTTAGTTGTATGTTTCCGTCTCAAAAAGCTTGTCGTTACGTATGAGTGACCTTTAATCATACTTGTCAGAGCGAAAACTTACTTGACGTGCAATTTGAATTGTCCTGTTATCAATCTTCAAGATAAAATTGTACAATGCCCGGAAATACGATCAATGGAGAAGGCCGACAGCTCGTGCTAAATTTAATAGAGTATTTCCTGGAAATGAATGAAAACAGCGGTCCCTTGACCCACTTTATGCGTACTGGAGAGAGTAGCAGATGCGCTGAAGATTAGTCTGCGCAGCTACCATTGTCAATATAACCCTAATGAGTTAGTCTGGGGAATAGCCAGTCAGTAATATGATCGTCATATTGCGGAAAATGGCTATGGTGACAAGGAAGTTTTGAAAGTTTGGGACGATGCTGTAGCGAAGGTGACTCCTACAGTTTGGTCCAAGTGTGTAAAACATTAAAAACGACTGGGACACGCATCAAGTTATATAATAGTTCATACTTCCATTGGAACAATTTTGAAAATTTATAATTCTTAATGTTCTATGCATGCACCTCAATGTGTTGTTAAATATTTTGAAAGATATCGAAGTTACAAGCTTGATGTTTAGTAGGACGACATACATCTAAAAGCTCGAGTTTAAGAGCATCATCATCAAAATGTATTTTTTTGACTAGATGGTTCTCGCAGAACTCTCATAAGCTTGTCACATATTTACATCCAATGATAAATGTTCCATTAAGTTAGCAAATAAAAGTGATATTTTGTATTATATCGTAAATTCCGTATGCATTTTTTATTTCAACTTTAAAAAACATCAAATGGCACGACATACACACTCTACCCATGTTTATGTACTAGATTAGAAGATTTTTGAGAATTACAGTTAGTAAATAGTATTGAATCGGTTTCCCTCAGTTAAGAAAATTAAGATCCGCCCATGGTACGGAGACTCGATCTGTTTACTTATTTCATATGGCATTCATGACATAACCTCCACGAACGGTGACTACAACTATGCCAGCTTCCACACATGGCATTTTAAAGCAAATGTTATGCAGTCAGTACTTAATCTAATCCATCAGTATTTACCATGAAATATATTTATTTTGACCATGTATTCAGGACGTCAGTAATTATTTATTGATGTATAAGTTTGCGTAGAAATCCGCTGCCACTAACGGAATGATCAGTAGATTGACAGTACGAACCACAGTAAAAAATGAGTTCAAGGATGACAGCGTTATTGTTATTATGCTTGGTTATGCTGTCAAAGTCATCTAAAATGTTGAAGTGTCATGATTGATGAAAAGATAAGTTCATTCAGTTCTGCATGTTGATTATTATGTCCAGGTTTCAGTCATCAAAGCGAATGGAATAACGTCATCCTTAAATTTCGACAAACTACAATTGACTGCCTGCTGTATCCATGATTGAGCACCCAATAAAAGACCAAGGGCACTCAAAAACGAAGAAGCTTTTCATTTTGATTGCCCTTATTGGTGCAACTGTAACTATAGTTAATTATCACAACCTATATCAGAAGAAATTGGACGTAAAGAGATTTCAATATTCGGCAAGTCGAAATATTCCTCCCTTTCCAGCCAAATATCATAGAGGTGAGAGAACCAGTCCTAATATGAAATAACTTTTAGTGTTGTCGGTGATTGTATTTTTTTTGCTATTCTGGATAAAACGTTGGTTGTTTTAGGGCTGTAAGAAATTGGAATGAATATATTTTCTGTTCTCGTCGTTTAGAGTGTCTATGAACACTTATGGCAGGCTCATACTACCTTTTATTAGTCGTAATCATAAACATAACTACGAGTATATTGAGTTGAAATGCGTATGTCTGAATTCGTTTATACAAATTGTCGTAATCATAAGCATAGTCATAATCATAATTGAAGTTCGTAACATTTAACTCTTATGAGTATGCTTATGAATGAAATGTCAATTTACCAAATTTATATGTCACCTGACCTACTACTTGACAATTGACTGACAACATACCTAACCTACAATTTGACAATACATGAACAGAACTGAAACTGATGAAATGAGACAGCACAAACTGCCATCTATTGCCAACATCAAGCAGTGCGAGAATAAAAATACCAGGCTGTCTGTTGCAACTGTAACCCAGTTCGCATTTGACCACTAGATGCCGCCGATGCTGGTACCTTATCAGATACAGTCTACTCGTCATTGAACAAACTATTAATCTAGCTTCAGACGGCCAACCATCGATAGCTGTTTCGTGCTATTTGGAAGCTCATCAGAATGGTCTAGGCCTGCTCCCAGGTAGAACACCGGATGACAGCTGAGCAACTGTTCTTCATCTAGGATGTGTGATAGTCCATCTATGCTTGGTCTACCTGAGACCAAACCTAGACGACGCTGATGAGTTGTCAAATAGCACGAAACAGATGTCCATGGTTGGCTGACGGTGGTCGCACAAACGAAAGCTATATGAATGAACTGAAACTATGACCCAGTGCACTGAAGTGTTGCAATATCATTATCTTGTTTATTGTTCAAATGCTAAATAAATCATTTTAAACAACTTTGTGTGGTGAGCTTTTTATTTTTTTTTTATATTAAGCACATTAAAGAGATAAGGTTAAATCACTTAAATTTATTTTCTGAATGCTTTATCATCTGTCAATATCAAAAAAACACAGTTGCTTATGAGAATGATTGATGCAGTTGTCTAAACAGGGGACCTTAACTTAAAGTGTGGCTATTATTATGCTCAATGCTCATACTAAAAGGTTGTATTAACCCTCCATTAGATATTTTGAGGTTATTTTCACGTTCTTCATATTGTTACTTTGAAGGTTTTCTGGTGTCTAGCTCAAAATGCAAGATAATAGACCTAGACCCGTTCAATGATGAAGCAATGCAATTTCACTCAGCTAAACGTTACCAAAATTGTACAAAGAGACAACTTTTGACGTATGTTACAAAAGAGGACAATGTTGCCACACTACATATTAATACATCGCTGCAGTCTGCATACAGTCTAAAAAATATACGATGCTGCTACTCAAATATAATCAGAGATTCAGACGGAGAATATCCAGATACCACAATCAAGTAAGCACAGTATGGTAATAATAATTTGCATAGTCTTGAAAGATGCGTATAGCTAGAGCAGAATTATTCTGTTTACAAAATATAAGCAAGTTTTTTGAAATAGGAAACCCTAAAATACGAGCCCCTTCCCACTTGAGTTGGCCCAACTATTGGAACCTTAGTTTTTTTTCTTATAAAACACAAATAATAAAAATGTAGCAGGGTGTTACAGGTTTAAAATATTAAGAATGAATATTTTGATAATATATAGTAGAAAACACCAACTTTATCACTCCTTAATCAAATTTGCAGCATAAAAATAACACATGTTGCAATTACAGCATATCAACCTACTTTTATTTCAATGCAAAATAAATCTATAACGCATAGGTGGCTGTGAAGAATAAAAGCCATGACAATTGTTTTTATTAATCACAGCTGTCAGAATACGTTTAAAATAGTTTTGGGTAGTTAAGGTTTTCAAAATGGGTAGAGGAAAGGTTATTAGTCAGAAAATTCGGTTACTGATAATTAAATTTTTTAATTCTGGGAAATCAAACTCAGAAATTGCAACTTTGTTAGACTTATCGCGGTACAGTGTGAGAAATATTGTTAGAAGATATAACGTAAGTGGTTCAGTTAATATTAAGCCACGATATATGAAAACAAGTAATATCACAAATGCCGACCGAAGAGCATTAAGAAGAATAATCGTGGAAAACAGGCGTGCCAATTATTTACAATTAAGTGCTCTGTGGAGTGACGCTGTTGGAAGGAGAATTTCGAGGTCCACTACTCATAGAGAGGTCCACAAACTGGGATTTAGCACTTGCAAGGTAAGTTTTCTTATAAAAAAAGTGAAGTCAAAACCCTAAAGTTTCACAACTTGTTTATAGCCCAAAGAAAATCCACTATTAACTCCACTGCAAAAGAAAAATCGGCCTAGATGGGCTAAAGAACATAGACAATGGACACCTCAACAATGGTGTGCAATACAATGGAGTGATGAGGCCCGATTCAAACTTTGTGTTGGTGACAGTCGCAGTAGAGCTATTCGCAAAAAAATGAAGCATTCCATGTTGACTGACTGAGGTGAAAAGTGAAATTTCCAGCATCCATTATGGTTTGGGGCAGTATGTCATCAAAAGGAGTAGGAAAACTTCATTTTATTGATGGAAATGTGGATACAAACAAATATTTGGCAATTTTAGCTTTTACCAGTGATGGAAGAATGTTTGACATCCGACCACGATTTTGTGTTTCAGCAAGATGGTGCAGCGGGCCATACCTCAAAAAAGGCTATAATATGGATGGAAGAAAATAATGTACCACTTTTGAAATGGGTGTCTAGCAGTCACCTATTGAAACATTGTAGCACGAGATGAAAAAGTTTCTACGACAACATCCTGCTCGTACAATCACCGAACTGAGACAAAAGCTTCAAGAAATATGGGATTGCTTTACACCAAATTTTTGCCAAAACTTGGTTAACACTATGCCCCAAAGAATTTCAGCCGTAATAAAAAATAAAGGTGATGTTACCCAATGGTAATCTTTCAATTGTTGCTTTGTAAACTTCGCGCATTTATTCGCACATTGTTTATTTGTTCAGATGTTCTATTATTTATAGGTCTAAGTAATTTCAAATATGTATTTTTTACGACTAGAGTGTATCTAAAATGTGTTTGATAAAAATAAATTGTTTTAGAAGTAAGTAGTTTCGTCAGGTTTTGTTTATAAAGGCATATTTTGGTACAAATCTTGAAGTGGGCCAACTGAAGTGGGAAGGGGCTCGTATAATAGTCCTTCGTAGAGGCGCCTTCTGCTCCCGTAATTATATTATAATAAAGCATTGAAGATTTTAGCGCTAAATTGATGTCAAATTCTGAATTTTCGCATCTAATAATTAACTAAGAGGTCGAATTTTGTCAAAATCGTTTTTTTCCCGACTTCATTTGTCACTTTTTCTCCTCTACAAGATGACATAATTAGAATTTCATTATGAGGTTTCTTGTCTTCAATCATCAACAAGAATATACAGGTATATTGTGTATTATATTGACATTGCCGAATCTTAGTTATTTCAAAAAGCAGAATTTCATAAGTAGGCGTTGGATATACCAGGTAGTCATTTGTTTCATAATATCATGAGCCATGCACTCCTTCAGTTTTTGTCAACAACCCTGTTTCGGCACGGGTATTACGTATCTTGAAAAGTGACATTTTATCGGACTTTTTTAACGTTTTATAGGTCATTTATGACATAACGCAGGCGTTTCCCATCTGTTTCAGCATATCCATGTGTCAAGAATTCACAAATAGTGTACTTATTTCTCAAGATCCTGTAATGGTGAATTGTATAGACGATGATGGACTGATCTACGAAAACGTTCACATTGCCGTCACTATGACAAAAAGCATCGAGGACAAAATTACAAAATCTAAGAAACGAAGACCTATAAGCCTACTAATGATTGGCATCGATAGTGTATCCCGTTTGAATTTTATCAGAACTATGCCCCATACTTACAACTACGTTGAAACAAATCATTGGATACCACTTCTGGGTTTCAACAAGAAGGGAGATAACACTTTTCCCAATATGATGGCTATATTGACTGGGCTCGACGTTAGCCTGTTGATGGAGGACAAGATATGTAACCCGTACATTTTCGGGGAGCTCGATACTTGCCCTATGATATGGAAAAACTATAGTAAGCTCGGTTATATCACAGCTTATGCAGAGGATGAACCTTACAGAGTTGCTTTTAACTATGCGAAGGGTTTCAAAACTCCCCCTACCGACTATTATTTCAAGCCTTACGTTTTAGCCACACAAAAATTGAGCAAAGGATATACGTATATTGACGGCCTTTCTTATTGTACTGGACCTGAAACTGCTGGTGAAAGGATTATGAACCTAGCCAATGATTTCTCGGCTACTTTCAAATCATACCCCTATTTGGGATTATTTGGATGAACAGCTTTAGTCATGACAAAATTAACTCTCCTGGACGGATGGACCTTAAAGTTAAGGATTTTCTGGAAACTTTAACGAAAGAGAGAATCACAGATGACAGCATCATAGTGTTCTTCAGCGATCATGGTATCAGATATGGTGATATACTTCTGTACAACACAGGATGGCACGAAGAGAGGTTACCTTTCATATATTTTTCGTTCCCTACTTGGTTCAAAAGGAAGTACCCTAGATTACTCAATAATTTCAAGGCAAACATGCACAGGCTGACGTCTCCATATGATTTCTACATGACGCTACAGCACGTTCTGTTACTAGAAGGAAAGATCTCCGAATTCAAACCAAGCATCGCATGTCCAACATGCAAATCATTTTTCGATGAGATTCCTCATAATCGAAGCTGTAAGGATGCTGGGATTCCAACCCATTACTGTACCTGTCAAGGGTATTTAGAGGTACGCCTTTCCCAGGACGTAGCCCAACATGCCGCACAGCTTCTTATCGATGAGGTACACAGTCGCATCAAGGACATACCATCTTGCTTACGTTATAAGCTACTTAGAGTCAGAAGGACAGCTGTTTCTCAAAATAGTCTTCTTGAAAATGAAACTTATCTCCTAATGTCGATAGAAACGATACCGACAGCTATCTTTGAAGCAACCTTTATTGTATCTGGTGATATTTCTCGTAAGGATATTTCGCTGGCTGAAAATAGATGGATCAGCAGGTTAGATCCTACGGGAGGGAACGATTGGTGTACGAAGAATTTTAAAATCTACTGCTTTTGCCCCAAAAAGCATTAGTCAGCTTCAGCGAACTTTCTGTCTTGCGCTAAATCTTTTATCTCCTTGCTTTGAGATTCAAGAATAATTGTGTCTAGTAAACAGCCGATCTAAGATCCCAGCTAACACAAGCACGTAGTAGTGACGTCGAAATATTGCGATAACTTGCGCGATTCTTCCAACTATCGACATCGTAATGACCTCTACTAAATGCCCAATTTCGTACGGGTACTGCAAGACGATGTTATGGCCTATTTTTGGGCTTGTTTTTTTTTGGTAAGGTATTTTTTCAAAAGATCAAGGTCATGGCTTCAAAAACTTTCTGCAAGGAATTCAACGGTGACCTTGAATTTGACCGTGTCCTTCATCTCCAAAGTTAATTTACGGTCAAGTTTATTTTTGATGCCGATAGTCAAAGAACAGAAAATTTTACTTTCAGACGCAGTCCAGGGTCGGAATGACTACTAAAGTTTAAATAAAGGCAAATGTGTGCTGCTAGGGAAAAAATCTCACAGAATTAGTGATGAAAATAAGTATCAAGGTAAGCTCTGTAGTAAATGTTGACGAGTGGTCTTCGATTTAACCTTTAACTTCACCTTAGAGGTCATTTCAAGGTCATTTTTTTCTTCAAATAGAAACCCACAGGAACAGTATCGGTTAAAAGTCATTTGTAACGAGCACCATAATTCCCTCGTCAAAATTTACCCAAAGATCTGATCTTGACAGTTATTTTCGTCACTATTCGTGTGACATTTATAGAGGTTTTCCTAGCAGCACACATTTGGACTTTATGTGACCTCTAATGCTCACCTTGACCTTCAACTCTAATATACATTTGAGCATTTCCTGCCCTCTGGATTTTCGACATCGCATAGGCGTTCCTATTTTTGAGAAAATAGAGCTGACCTTGAAGGTGAGGTTCAAAGTCAAATTCAAGATCACCGCTACGTGTGAAAACTTGCTAAAGATCTGACCTTACCAGTTGTTTTCCTCACGCTATCTGCGAGTTTTCTAGAGATTTTCCTAGCAGCAATTATTTGACTTTGTTTTAACCTATTTGACCTCCAGCGGTCATCTTAATATTCAATTTTAATACATATTTGAATATAAAATTTCCTGCTCTTCCGATTGCCGGCAGCAAAAATAGGGGCTTCCATGAAAAAATTTGACTTTGGGTAAGTTTTAACAAGGGAACTACGGTGCTCGTTACAAATGATTTTTAGCCGAAACCGTCCCTGCGATCGATGATTTTGAAATGACGTTGGAAGTGAAGTTCAAGGTCAAATTCAAGATCACTCCTCAAAATTTACTAAAGAACTGACCTTGAAAGTTATTTGTAATTTTCATCACTAATACTCTAAGATAGTGGTTGTCCCAGCAGCACACATTCGACCTCCATTTGACCTTTAGTGATCACCAAGACATTGGTCTTCAATTCGCACTTATACGTAAAAATTTCTGCTCTTTTGGTTGCTGGCATCAAAAATAGGGATATTAATTGAAACATGCAGTTGACTTTGAAATAACCATGAAGTTGAAGGTCAAGGTCAAATCCAAGATCACCGTTCACTCCCTCGTTAAGATTTACCAAAGACCTAACCTTTGAGATTTATATAGGATTTCCTAGCAACACACATTTGATCTTCATTTGACCTTTAGCAGTCATCCTGACCGTGGACTTTAATTGTGCTTGAACGTAAAATTGTCTGTTCTATCGATTGCCAGCATCAAAAATAGGGGTTTCTACTTGAAAAGATAAAGTTGATCTAGAAATAACCTTGAAGGTGAAGGTCAAGATCAAATTCTAGGTCACCTGACACCTGACCTTTTCCAAGAATACGTTACACAAAAAAATACAAAGCGGTTCCGGGACTTTTGTGTCGCGCTGTATACATATATTGTCATATGTACAAGGTTCTTGTTAATTCAGAATCAATCTTTCCGATTCAAAACGGGCAAGGCAATAATTATTGCATTCCATCTCTGATTGTCGTGCACTCAAAGCATCTCAAAGTTACCGTATAATGTTCCATTTCCATTTTATATTCCTAGTGTTCCGATTTCAAAGAATGAATCAAAATATCCTTATCGGATACAACATTCAGATAGAACATGAAAACCAAAAGAATACATATCACACATGTTCGCTATTCAACGTTGCATATTCTTTTCACGCTTAATGGCAACTATGTAACAAATGACAATTGGCAGTGAACAGCAATCGCGAGCCGCTGCAATCGCGACTCTTCCTTGCTCCCGCCATTTGTACCGCTCGTGTTTTGTTGCTCTAACTCCCACGTACTTAGTATAATTTCCAAAACTGTAGAAAAATGGTCAATTTTGAAAGCAGTTTCCAGACGAAGGTACTTTAATTTTCACTGTTACCTGTAGTTACACAGCTCTTAGGTTCGAAAGACAAATGGCAACATCAGCGTAATGTGCCCCCCAAACGTCGTGTAAACTAGTGAAGTGAGGAATGGGGAACCAAGTAATAGGTCGTCTTTCGTAGCTAGGCGGGCAGCGCCTAGCTAGTGTTTATAGCTTATCTACATGGGTATATAATTTTTGAAGGTGCTAAAACTGGTTTTTTTAAGGGGGACGCTAAACGGACATGCACACATTCTGGCCCCGCCTTAGAGACCCGTCGAGAGGTACCGCCACGTTCGGCAGTCAGAGACCATCTACCACCTACGGACAATCACAACATCCATAGTCAATGGAAAAATTCTCATGGGACGTAGACCCATATAACGTCTACCACTGCGCCACCATTGCCGCTACTTATTATAACTAATGCACGTCACTTAGGAGGTGACTTACACGTTACTTTTACGTTATTTATCTCGTAATTTCTTGTCACTTGATGGTCAGTTTGTAACGTGATTTTCACGTGCTTGTGCTACCTGGGATTGTAAGCCTCAAATGCAGAGAGAAGCGTTCTTAAGAAATAAATAAATAAATAGAGTTTTGACGTTCTTCTGGTTTTATCATTCGACACCCTCGCGGAACAGATGGTCTACGCCACAGGGTGCACTCAAACTCGCTCCGCTACGCGCTGCCAGGGTACATCCGTTCACTTCTCTACAGCCACGATTACTACCGTTCAGCTACAGCTTGTCCGAAGGCATTCGCTAGGCTGCAATTTTCAAATCAGTGTAAGTAGTACAGCAACTTTTGATTTTATAATATTAACGAAATGTTCATCACAATCGACCAAAAAGTCATTTCGGTCCAATTCGTTGTTTGTCTGTTTTCTACTTTAAGCTCATGGCAGAGCGGATACATTAGGAGAAGCTGTAGTGGGATCGGATGTGAGCGGAAGTACCCTGGCAACGTGTAGCGGAGCGAATTTAAGTGCACCCTCGAGTGCAGTCCGTCTGTTAGATGGATGCGTCGCATTAACATTCAGCGATCTGTAAAGTCTTACGTTCGTTTCTTATTAGGTATTACAGACCAAACGGTTTTTTGTGGAAAGGGTTCCCCAAATGTCAAAATGGTTTCCTAAGTTATGAGCCATCTACGTACTCAAAAACCACTGTGTAAAATATAATTTATTTTTTCCGATGCAGTCTTCTTGTACTAATCTTTACATTTTTTATTTTTACCCATTAAACATTAATACATGATTGGAAAAAAACAAAAAAGTTTGTAGCAGAGCGTGGTTTCGATCCACGGACCTCTGGGTTATGGGCCCAGCACGCTTCCACTGCGCCACTCTGCTCTTGTATATTTCATTTCAGAACATACCACATACCCTTCCGTAATGCATATAATAATAATCTGTGTATTTAATAAGTAATATTAATATATCCGTTTCACTTAATAAAAAAATACCACTTTAATGAATTATTATATATCATATTATTGTCTACATCCATAAACTGCAAAATTATATCGTTTCAAGCAAAACACAAAGGCGTCGATGGTTGTTTGACAAAGGTAAACAACAGGTGCAGATTAATATTTTGCTCTGTTTCACTGTTATCATTCAGCTTTCATTTTTTACACTTGCTTCATCTAGGAGACTATTACAAGAGCAAATTACGTTCGAATAGTAACCTAGCACTTAATCCTTCTTGGTAATGTTAAAGTATTCAATTACAACCTTTATAATTTACTGGTTCTTCGCCACTGTAAAAATTTGTTGATGGTGCTGACCTCTTATGTGGATATTGTTAAGCAAGCTATCTAAAGCTCATGGAATCTGTAGTCGTGCCTTATGAGTGACAAACTTAATGTCTAGTCAGACTTTGCCGGTAGAGATGACGCCATGCACTGAAAAATTCCAGAAACAAAAAAATGTGGACACCGGTTGGCAGACTTGCTCCTGTCATGTGTCAAATTTCTTTTGTAGAAAGTTGTGTTGTTGCGCAATTTTGACAAGCAAAATGATTAAATAGATCATTAAAATAACAGAAATTCTTGTTGCAAACAATTTTGTGTTGGAGTATTAACAATCTGTGATGTGTTTTATGTAGTAGAGCTGATTAAAACATTTGTTTAAAAACAAAATGTGTTATAATCAGCTGGGTGGCCATCTTGTTTATAAAGTGTGATTTAAACATGGAAACAGACTTTTATATTGAATTCCCACGTGTTATTCTCTGAAAAACTGTAGATATGATATATCAAAATATAGAAAAGTAAGTATATAACCTCATACAACAATCTAAAAGCTCATAAAGATTGATGATATTCTAGTTAACATGGCGTGTCATTTTTACTGTTTTTTGTTATTTTGGCGCCAATTTTAAAACAAATTGTTTGAACAATTTAATTAAAGCTTACAATACGAGTAATTATTACTTTTATGCTTTATTAGACTGCTCCATTCGTAATAAAATTCATCCAAGAACATCTGTGAGTTAATTTCAATATAGTTTCAAAATCTTGGAATATTATTAGGGGTAATCGAGATGAAAGTACAAAAGCTAATTCATTTTGGACCAGCATAATGATTTCAATCTATATTTTCTACCTGATGTTTTTCCAAAATATTATAAATATAATTTAGGTCATACAGCTCAATCTCTCAACTTTCATACAATAACTTTTTTTCAGTAGTAAGTAAAATGGCAACAAATGATGCCACTGGACCTGAACTTTTTCCTGGTTGGTCCTCTGTTGTTCACCAACCTGCTGAAGAGCCAGAAGAAACTGATCTACCAAGTACAGTAGACATTGCTGCATTTAGCACAGGTCTAACTGTTGAACCAAGCAGTAATACTCAAAATGATGAGGAAAGTGATTCAGAAAGTGACTCTGAGGCTGATTCTAGTGTATGTATTGAAATCTTTTGTTAAATACATATATTCTCAACATGATTGTTATATTGACATACTAAAGCTGAAGGTGGTATACCACCAGCTGTTAACATGAAAAACTGAGTTACTAAGTGGTTACTGTATTTTGTTTAAACATTTTTTAAGGGTAAAACGTTGGGGTGAGGGAGGTTATCTCATTTGTTTTTAATTCCAGTATGCGTATTGGCTGTATAGCCAGTTGTTCCTACAATTATAGGACACCTTTATGGCCTCCTTGATTTTCATATGCCTTTGTCTCCTTAAAAAATTTCTAGATTGCACCTGTTCTGTGTCAGTGTCAGCACTCTCCTATTGTGAAGATATGTTTTCTTTTTAAAATGTAGGAAATTTCAGGCTGATAAAACATTATGTAACTCAAAAGCATGCACAATTTAACGCAAATAGATATTTGTGACATAACCTCAAAATAGATCGCTCACATGGAAAAGTAGAAAACTATGACAATCAAGGAGGCCATAAAGACGTCCTACAACTATAGGAACAACTGACGATACAGGCCTAAATCACGGTAGTTCTACACACCTATTTGACATATTTCACACATTATAGATTTCCCTTATATTTTCCCTCAAAATGATCTGGCCTTACTGTTGTGCTGCCAGATGGACTATCATTAAGACAGGGAAAGAATGTGTGGGCCTGTTTGGCGGACTTGATCCATTTAATTTCTCTATTATATGTGTACAGCATTTGGGGGAAGTCCATTGTCAATCTCCTTGATGACATATTTATGTACTAGTAGCTTTCTTGTGGTGTCTATGTTGTGATCTTTCCAACTGTTGCTGCAGGTTATAATTTCTTTCTCTATCATTTCTGAGAACAATATAGCAATTAACATGTAATAAACATGTTCCATGTTTATTTCTAGAACTCGGGAACAGATGGATCTCAATCATGCAGCCAATCAGACTCCTCAGATTCAGAGAGCTCTTCAAGTCAGGAATCATCTTCGAGAAGTCCAAGTCCTGAATTCTCTGTGACCACATCACAGACAAACAGTCTAAGGCTAACCATAGCACAGATCAGGAAACCTAGCCCAGAGCAAGAGAAAAAAGTGGAGAATAGGAAGAGTTCTTCAAAGACAGAGAGCTCAAGCAGTGATAGTGAAGCATCAAGTGAGTCGGAATCAGAATCTGAAAAAAGTAAGTGATTTGTAGTTATTCTTATGTCCCTATGGTCCATTTTTTTAATCTCTGATCAACTTTCAAGTTTGCTAATTTGGTGACTTTGAAGTCAACTACTTGTTCATACATCATTTTTCAACATCTGAATAACCGACACATAACGGGTGATCTAGCAATGTTCCATGTTTTTGTCTTGTGTCATCCATGTCAACTTGCCACTTTCAAGCAAAATAGATTAGGCATTGCATGTTAACTACAAGTTCCTCGCCAATCCATAGACAGTTCTCTGATCAAAGTTGAGATACAGCTTTTAGTTAGCAGTAAAATTGCAGTTAACATCTAATTGGAAAAACCGTACAGTTTAGAATTTAGTTTACTTGGCAAAGAATATCTGACTAATGAGTTTTCCCTTGTAAATTTCTTTGATTTTATGGCATTTTGGTTAAGTGGTTGTGAATGAGTATACTCTCACATATTTTTTGACGTTTTAGTTTACTTTAAACTAAACCAGCTTCAGAAATCTAATGGTCTGTAAAAGCACATACTGCACAATTCACACTGCTTGCAGTTCACATCTTAAAAGTTGTTGTTTAAACAAAGTTCTTATAACTTGCTGACATTGATGTGTCTTCAGAGGTACATCTTGTTGACAGACATCACAAAACTGAATTCTTCTTGAGGACGTTTTTGCGCGGAGGGTTGTCCTCATCGCGCCAGTTATCCCCAGCCTCGTTGGTTCAGAATCTAGTCAAGCTTGCGGGTAACCGAAGTCTTCACGATTCATGGCCACTCATCCATACTGTATCCTAGGTTTCACCACCATCATGTAAAGCCAGTTAAACCTTTGGCCATAATCTCCAGGTATTGCCGACTGCCTGACGCAACTGCAATATTCCAGCACTATGCCCAGGCATTTTACTTCTTGATTGAGAGTCAGCCATGGAGGGTCGGTTAATTGAAATCTTTCATCTCTTGGTACAGAGGACTATCTCAGTCTTAGATGGAATGATGGAGAGCCCTGTCTCCACACACCATTTTCCTAAAGTATTACAGGCTGGGCAAGGCAATAATAGGGATCAATCTCTCTCCTCAGTCTTTCATTATTTTAATAATTGCAATACAAACCGAAAAACTACAAGAAATTACTAGATTTTGACATAATCACACATTCGTATCAATTTGTGATTGCAGGCGAGGTTATGTCAGGTAAGGATCCAAAACCTACTGAGGCAAAACCCGTTTCCAAAAACCTGAAGGATATCAAGAAAACCGTGGGAAGACTGAGAGCCAGAGTAACTGAAAGAAAGGATGATAAAAATCAAAAAGTGGTGAAGAGAGATGTTGCTAAACATGGCACCAGTCATAATGTCACCAAGACCAGGCTACGTCAAAGGAAAACGAGAAAGGTAAGTTTTTGTTTTTGGGTTTGGAGTTGGTTATGTAGAGTTAACATTATGTAGAAATATGACGAACAGGAGAAGAAGAAATACATTTATGGAATAAAGGAAACTTAGTACCAATCATTTATTTTTAATTAGCAGTTGATGGTCCCTGATATATTCTAGAGTGGAACCAATCTTATTAGAGAGTGACACAGTTCACTATTTCATAAACTTGAGAAATAAAGAACCACAATGTTTTGGGTTCATCTACATCTAGTCTTTACAATGTGACTATAAAAAACTTTATAAACTGATGAATATTGCAGTTAAGATAACTGAAAAATGATATTTAAACAAAAAAAAAACAAAAATGGAAAGGTAACAAAAGAAGTAAATCACTTATAAAGGTAAATATAAAAAATAAATAAATAAATTATTCTGCGGATTAGCAAATTAGATACAGAAAAAGTATGAAGAAATGGAGTAAAAACACAACACGAAAAAAGTGTTAAGGTAATATTCCTAATACATTCAATTTAGAGCACTAGTAGTCAATTATAAGTAGTAGAGATTCGATTTTCTATTTAAACACGTTATTAGAAGAAATGAACTGACCAGTTGGTTGTTAAAGTATTTTAAACAGAACAAAAATCGTATGAAGAAATTATTTTTTTATTCACTTTATTACTGATAATTTCTTTACAACGAGTCGGTGCTTAAAGAGTGGTTTCTGGAACACATCTGCACGAATTACAGCCTAGATATCTGCAAAGTTATGGACCTTATTTCACCTTAAACTGTTTGTAGACATTTTGAACTTGGACTTTTTAAAATCTTGATAATTTTGCCAAAAATTACAAGGAAAATGAAAACCTACAAAATGAAGCCAAACGACGATCTATTTTGTTGTTTTGATATGATACCCCGGTCATGGAATCTATTGCTTATATCGACCGATTTCATCCGCATTGATTTTCGTATTATCCAAAATCTAATACTGAGTCAATCTGCTTGGTTTTTTCATGTGCCTGGGTAATAATAATTCCAGTCCTGAATGGAACAAAAAATACCAAGAAATCTTAAACATGGGTGAGAATTCCGTACTAGGCGCCATCCTGTATGCTGAATTATGGATTAAATATCTCGGAATTTCTTTGCCGTTCAACTCTCTTTGACTCAAATGGTGTTTAAAATGACACTAATTTTGCCTGCATTGTTTTTAATAACGAAGCCGAACCCAACATTGATTAACGTGTTTTAACTAAAGATAATTGACCCAATGCTGCATTCCCGTGTCCTTAAAATTATTCAAGACCAAATAAAATATTGTTTCTTTTCTCTCCACTTGCTATATTGGCATATTGCATATATTTGGCTTTAGCGTGATCTATTAGAGACTAACTCATTTTATCTCGGATAATTTTTTGGTCGCGGGTATTTAGTTTTAGGTTCTGGCTATCTTCAGGTAGAATACGTTAACAATGCCAGCACCAAGAGTTCCGACGGTCGGTATATGGAGCGTCTAAACATAGCAAGGAATCCAATTACTCGTTTTCATTATTTCCATGTGATTACTTCATAGTTGCGATATAGTTGGTCCACCGTAGCATTTTTTTTTTAAAACCTAAGTTGGATTTAACGGCTTCTAAGTTCTGTTGTATCATCTGTTAATGTTAATTTTTTTAGGTAAGTAATTCACAAATGTTCTAAAAGTCTTTTGAAAGCAAAACTTTTTGATTAAGTATGAATGATATAAATAAACTCCTAAACAGTAACCTAAAGTTTGATATGTTATATTTAATAGTTTAGTAGTTTGAGGAATGAATCGATATCAAAAAATGTATTTTCGTATTTACTGAAAAGGTAGTCGAGTGTTTGATACGTGGTTTTGCCACTACAACCATTGATATTTACATATTTTTTCTCCCAGCAATCTATAATATTCAATTCAGCTTATCACCCCCTCTTTATATTATGGTGATTGTCTTTATTACAAACATCTTGTATGCATTGTGTAAATGGGTGCTATTTTACCCCATATAGTATACCATCCACCCTCCCACCCACACACGTACACTACACACCCTCGTAATTCCACCCTAAATGACTAATGCAGACCATGACAAACAGGAAAACACGCTACCTACCAGCTTAACTCCCTATATAAAAATCCAATAATACCAACTATTTTACGTGCACTTAGGCCCTTATGAAAAGGTAAAGTTAGATTCATATTATATTGAATTTTCTAGCTACAAAAAATTAAATGCTAATGTGAACGCTAAGAGAAATAATGTTCGAGGATAATTTTTACCTTCTTCAATGGGGAATGTATAGAATGTACTTCAGTATTGGTATCTATACTATACATTTTCATTTTGAATTGTTCCAGAATAAGTGGTCTAACCTACTACTAAAACCTACATAGTCATGCCATAAGTTCTGTCCCTCGTTTTCAAACAAGTGTAGACCTGTTAACACTTGTCCGATTGTTTACATTGTGGTGTCAGTTGATTAAGCGCTTTTCGGGTAATTACATATACCTCAGTTTGTATTGATCTCTCGAAGCATAACGATGGAGTGGGGCAAGGCAGAGAACCGTATTGCAGTGATAGCTTTACATAAGTGTAATCACAGTGCTAGTCAGATTTTTGAACTCTTACGCGGCCATCAAATATCGCGTAAATTTGTGTCTAGGACCATTCAGCGGTACAATGAGACGTCCTCTGTTGATGACAGGCCAAGAAGCGGAAGACCTCGTCAAGTAAGGACTCCAGCAGCCATCAAAGCCGTAAAAGCCAGGATTCAAAGGAATCCACTCCGGAAGCAGAAGATCCTATCCAGGGAAATGAAGATTCCTGTCCGGACGATGTCGCGCATCATTAAACAAGACCTAGGGCTAGGGGCTTACCGGAGACGTACGGGCCAGCGACTTACGGCCACCTTGCGACACATCAGGGCGACAAGATCCAAGAAGCTCTTGGAGAGGTACGCAGCTGGGGGATTCCGAAAGATTTTGTTCACGGATGAGAAAATCTTCACCATAGAAGAAAAATTCAACCGACAAAATGACAAAGTGTATGCAAGAAGTTCACGGGAAGCTTCGGAGATCATTCCGAGAGTTGAGAGAGGCCACCACCCTGCGTCAGTCATGGTTTGGTGGGGGGTGTCCTACGAAGGGGTCACTCAGCTCCATTTCTGTAAACAGGGCGTGAAAACAAAAGCGGCAAACTATCAGAGCGACATACTGGATCCTATCGTCAAGCCTTTAAGTGGTACATTGTTTGCCAACCAACACTGGGTCTACCAGCAGGATTCCGCCCCCGCTCACAAGGCTAAGAGTACGCAGCGCTGGCTGGAAAGCAATATGCCAGAGTTCATTGCTGCGGAAGATTGGCCCTCAGGGAGTCCGGACCTCAATCCTTTAGACTACAAGTTGTGGGACCTGCTAGAGCAGTTGGCCTGCTCCAAAGCCCACCGTAATATCGAGTCCCTGAAAGCGGATTTGATCCGATCAGCGGCAGCTATTCCTTTGGAAGCTGTGCGTGCAGTGATAGATGAGTGGCCCGCGAGATTGAAGCAGTGTGTGAAGGCCAAGGGGGGACATTTTGAATAAAACTGTTTGATTATGAATTCTAAAAATGTTGTCGAATAAATAATATCTTTCATATAAATATATCTTATCTTGTTTCATTTTTATCATGAGATTATCATGGGACAGAACTTATGGCACGACTACGTAAATGTTGTCGCTTGTCAAATTGATATGAGTTAATATTATCAAAAATAAAACGTACGGCTGAGTGGAGATAGTCAAATAGAGTAGAAGCTTTTGGTGTTTTTTTTGGCTCTGTCTTCTGCGTTAAAAACCCTTCTCTTGTACTTTCCCGGGCTTCGGATAATTCAAGAAAATAGCGACATATAACGAAACGTAATCCTCTTGTAAGCGATTTTAAATACCACTTATTATATTATGTCCTTTTCTCATCACATATCTATGGAGAGAAAACTATTTTTCATTATTCGGGTCTTAAACAAAATGTGTCAGAAAATTTTTAAAAGAAGATAAAAGTCGTAAACAATGTTACCGACAAACTTTTCCCACAATTTTATGGAATTAAGATTACAAAAATTTACTGTGGTGCCAATTTTATGGAATTGAGATTACAAAAATTTACTGTGGCGCCATGCATGTCCGAAGACTCATGTGGTGTGCTTAAAAACATTACAACATTCAAGAATAATTCGGCTCCAGGACATGTACTGTTTTCAACATCACTGGTGTCATCCTGATGATTAATATTTTTCTATGGATTCGCTGAATAATACTTATTTATAATACAAGGGAAAACGTACTAGATTCTAGCTTGAGGTTGAGACCAAAAACAGAAAGCTAAAATCTAGTATTCTTCCCGTGTGTAATACACAATTTTTTTTCTGACGGGAAAAACGACGATTTAATATGGAAAAACTATATTATTACAATATTTCAGTCAGAAAATTATCGATGTGAAATTTGAATTCTGAAATTGGTAGGCTATGTTTTACTTATAGCGACAATAAGACCTGCGTTGCTAAGGAAACCTTTAAAGTAATCAAATAGCTGTCAATTTAATTTTGTGATTTGATTTAAAAATTGTGAACTTAGTGGTTGTTTAGAAGTTATTTTTAATACTATAACCGCAATTAGTAGAAGTAGCCAAAGTAGCGTCACAAAAATTATTGCCAGCTAAATCGCGGAAATATATATACAATATCCGGGAAAAAGTACTCATTTTTTTCCCGGGGAAAAAAGTAATTTCATAAAAAATTAACTTTTTGTTACCTGTCAACAAAGATAATATGTCAAACTTTTTTCATGTCAGAGAACAAAACATGTTTCATATGTCTAGCATCCTCTATAAGAGTTCCCTCAACTTTGTTATACGCTAAACCTGAAAAAAGTACGAAAAAACTCCCAAAAAAAGACTGAGTTCAAGAACAGTGCAAGTCCATGAACTTCACCGTTCTACAACTTCGAGGGGTGTGCTTTTTTCCTATTTTTTATTTTAAATTATCATTCATACAAAGAATCACCACCATTTTTGTATGATAGCCAAAACGGTAACTCTACACATTATGGA